AAAAGAATTTACCCCTTCTATTGATTTCTTCATTCCTATATTCCAAGTGTCCTTACATTATCTCTTACTTTGTATCTGATAAACATCCATTATAGCTACTATTTTAGAACCAATCCAACGGTAGGGGCGCCTGGGTGGCGCAGTCGGTTAAGCGTCCGACTTCAGCCAGGTCACGATCTCGAGGTCCGTGAGTTCGAGCCCCGCGTCGGGCTCTGGGTTGATGGCTCAGAGCCTGGAGCCTGTTTCCGATTCTGTGTCTCCCTCTCTCTCTGCCCCTTCCCCGTTGATGCTCTGTCTCTCTCTGTCCCAAAAATAAATAAACGTTGAAAAAAAAAAATTTAAATAGAACCAATCCAACGGCAACAAATTTTCTTAGGGTTCCTTCATCTAAAAATGTGTTTATTTCTCCTTTATTCCTGAAATATATTTTTCCTGGATACACAAATCTGGGGTAACATCAGGGTTTTTTTCTTTCAGTACTTGAAAAATGTTGGGCCACTCCCTTGTGTCTTCCATAGTTTCTGACGACAAATTTGCTGTCATTCAAATTGTCATTTCCCTAATGGTAATGTGTTGTTTCCCTTTTAAAACTTTTTCTTTGGCGGGTGGGGGGATGGGTCAAATAGGTGAAGGGGAGGGATTAAGAGTACACTTACCATGATGAGTACTGAATAATGTACAGAATTGTTGAATCACAAAATTGCACACCTCAAACTAATCTAACACTGTATAGTAATTATATTGGAATTTTAAAATACATAAAAATTTTTTTAAATATATATATATATATACACACAAAGATTTTCTTCTTTTGCCTTAATTTTCAGAAATTTAACTACAATGTGATTGTGCATGGATTTCTTTAGGTTTATCCTGTTTAGAGTTTACTCTACTTCTTGGCTTACATCTTTTGCCAAATTTGGGAAGACTTAAGCCATTATTTCTTCAATTTTTTTTTAACTCCACATTCTGTCCTTTCTGTCTAGTCCTCTGATGACTTAAATGTTATCTTTTGTTATTGTCCCACAGGTCTCTGAAGCTAAGTTTACTTTTCCATTTAGTTTCTCTCCATTATTCAGACTGGATAATTTCTTTTGATCCATCATTAAGCTCACTAATTCCTTCCTCTGTTCTTTCCATTCTGCTATTGAGTTTATCTAGTAATTTTTAAATTTTTGTTAGTCTATTTTTCAGTTTTAAAATTTTCATTTGATTCTTTAAGTTTTCTATTTCCTTGCTGCAGTTTCAAGAGTGTTTTCATTTGTTTCAAGAGTGTCTCTTCATCCCAATGGCTAACAGACACATGAAAAGATGCTCAACATCGCTCATCATCAGGGAAATACAAATCAAAACTACATTGAGATACCACCTCACATCAGTCAGAGTGGCTAAAATTAGCAACTCAGGAAATAACAGGTGTTGGTGAGGGTGTGGAAAAAGGGGAACCCTTTTGCACTGCTGGTGGGAATGCAAACTGGTGCAGCAACTCTGGAAAACAGTGTGGAGGTTCCTCAAAAAATTAAAAATACAATTACTCTATGACCCAGCAATAGCACTATTAGGAATTTACCCAAAGGATACAGGAGTGATGATTCATAGGGGTACATGTACCCTAATGTTAATAGCAGCATTATCAACAATAGCCAAATTATGGAAAGAGCCCAAATGCCCACTGCCCATCAAATGATGAATGGATAAAGAAGAAGTGGTG